ACCAGAATTTATTTATATTTCCTGCTCCTTTTCGTATTTCTTACTTTTAATTTGATTTTTTCGCTCAAATTTTCCCAGAAAACGCAGGAAAATGAAGGAAAAGGAAATTTTCCGATCCTTTAACCTACTTACTGTTTAATTGACCGTTTCAGGTTGGTTAGGGTTTTAATGCGCTATTGATCCATGGCTGTACTGGATAATTGTGCTTATTGTGCGTTTTTAATTAGCAGTGGATTAATTTCTGAGAAATTGAAATGAATTTTTTCCCCTTTTTTTTCATTTTTAGGTTTTTAGGTTATTGTATATGTATATTTCGTTATCGTTAATGCAGGTTTGATGGCCTAGAATCTGATTGTTTTGGGTTTGTTGCTTAATGTTGAGAAATTAACGACGATTTCGAATTTTGTTTCAGAGAATTTGATTCAATTGAGGAGTTGCTGGTTGTTGTGGTGCTTGTGCGGAGATCAGCTGCTTAGCAAAATGAAGTAATTCAATCTGTCTCCTGTTGAATTTTTTATACTTTTCGGGTTTGGTTTGTGTTAAACGCTTAGAAATGTTGCATTAAGTCATGCTTTAGAAGATGGTTTCGGTTTTGTAGAAAGGTGCATACTTTCTGTTTGTTATCAGATGCTTGAAGTTTATAGGTATACTGATTTTAGATTTTGCTTATTGAGTGGCAGAGGCCGAGTTAGATGGGACGAGGATAATATAGGAGAAATTGAAGCAAATAAACCTGTGAGACAGAAAATTACTGAGCCGAAGACACCATACCACCCCATGATGACGGATGATGAGGATGGTATGTTGGTTTCTATCTTACTTTTCTTTTTGTGCAGGCATGTCAACTGGATATGCATGAACACCGAAGTGTTTATCTTTATCGTATTTTTCTTATAAACTTCATGTGGTAATCTTTGGTTGTAGGTTTTCAACGCTTGTTTCCTGAAAGAAAAAAAAATGTGTTTATCTTACATGTGGAAACTTATCATTTTTTATGACTTTATAATCTTTCCAGGATCTCTGTCTCCTATACGAGGGGGTGGTACCTTCGACGATTGTGTTGGTGATGCAGATCATGCAGAAGCAATACGAACTGCTTTGTGTGATGTGGCATCATCAAGTAGAAAGAACGCGCTACAATCTACTGGCTGGACATCATCTGAAGATGAGGCAGAAGCTATGGAACAAGATGATGAAGGTCTTCATTCATCTCCTTTTACCTTTTCTCCTTAAGTTAACCCTTTCAATCGCCATTCGTTACACTTCTCACTATATTTCATTCCAGTCGGCTGAGTTAGTTTTATATTTTAGTCATCCACTGCTTGTTGATTAGAATATTTATACAACTGGATTGATACATGGATATGATTGAAGTTGCATCAGATGACATTACTTCATGTAAGACACATGAGATTAGATCTCAATGAACATATTTAGAGGTTATTATTGCCTCTAAACTTGCCGTCATTATATTCTGTTAATGGTCGGAACTTTTGTTTCCGATATTGCTTAATCCTCATCTAGTTCTCATTTTCCCCATGCCCAGTTCAAAAAGTCCGGCATATTTTCAAATTCTTCTACCCCTCAGTTACATTTATACAATTCATCAACAATTTCTTTACTGACATGTGGTTGTCTGTTCTGCGTTTTTGCTGTCGGACTTTGCCAGATTCTGAGAAAAGCAAGAGTTTTAGGGAGCTCAGAAGAGCCCATTATGATGAATTCCAGAAAGTAAAAGAACTCAGGCGGAAAGGTTCTTTGCTCGACGATGAAGAAGAGGACGAGGTCGTTAACATGGATAAGGAGAAGAAATCTGGCTCCTCTTCGTTAACTGCCGGTGTCAAAGAAATAGATATCGATGAAGATGGTACCGCATCAACCAAAACCTTTTCCGGACCTCCGGCGACCGGAGCTTAGAAGATCAAGCCAAAGCTAAGACTTCCTTTGATCATTTCACTGACATTTGGATTACAGTTTTTGGTTCCTTGTATGCTCATCTGATTGCAATTTGTATCTTTCTATTGTGTTTTTGGTATGTAAATAGTTCAACTTTATTTCCTTATCAAAACAATGTCTGAGAACGAGAGATATTTTTGTTTAATGCTGACGTGTCACTGATTGGCAACATCTCACTCACATATATAGCTCACACTCATCGCTGCTCTCTTATGATTCATTGAGACTCTGAGCAATGGCTTCAGAGCTTGCTTCACAAATATGCAGCCACTTAGCCTCCATCTTCACCAAACCAACCCACCCCCACCCACCGGTCCTCGACCTATTGGTCACCGAGCTCTCTTCCACAGCGGCACGAAAAGGCCGCGTCTTTCTTTATGGGGTGGGCCGAGAGGGCCTAATGTTGAAGGCGCTATGTATGCGCCTTGCCCACTTAGGCCTCTCGGCCCACATGGTATTCGACATGAACACTCCCCCGATCGCAGCTGCGGATCTACTCATAGCCTCAGCCGGCCCAGGTGGATTTTCTACTGTGGATGCAATTTGCTCCGTCGCCCGATCGAACGGCGGTCGAGTCCTGCTGCTGACGGCGCAGCCGGAGACTGGATCGTGTGCGAGGCACGCTAGCGTGGTTGGTTATGTGCCAGCGCAGACCATGGCGGATGATGGTGGGGATGTGATGAAATCTCGGCCGTTGCTTCCAATGGGGAGCGTGTACGAGGGGGCTTTGTTTGTGTTGTTTGAGATGGTGGTGTATAAGTTGAGTGAGGTTTTGGGTCAGAGCCCTGAGGATGCCATACGAGCCCGCCACGCCAATCTAGAATGACCGCGATTACCTGTTGAATGTGGGCCCACCATAGATCGTGAGATTGGAGAGATTTTTTATTGTGACCGACATATGGGATAATACATCACGTGTTAATATATAAATTATGGGATATGTGTGTTAAAAAGTTAATAACTTAAGAAATAAAATTTCTCATCACTTACATAAAAACACGTGATGTATCACTCGTATTTCTGTCACAATTAAAAATTTCTCTTGAGATTGTTAGTCACGTGCTCCACTTTCTATGCCTCCTCGACTGCGCAAAAGCTTTCGTACTCGCGTTACCCGCCCGGTCGACCCTTTGTTTTCCGTGTTGGATATTTGTTGGATAGTTATTTAGGCACTTTTGTTTTTGAAAATCTAGATGTTGTTGTGCACTTGCGGTAGGGTTAGATTGGTATTGTTGTGGTTTTAGAAAAAAAATAATTTGTATCATGTTGCGAGAAGAAATAGTTGTAAAATAAAGCAGCTGTGTGTTTCGTAAACATTTTTTTATTGTAAAAGAGCTTTTAACAAAATATAAATAAAAAAACAATGTTTGAATGTTCGATAAACTTTTATATAAAATTGAAGTGTCTTCCCTAGCCTATACTGTCCATTTTTTATTTTGGTTTTTAGAATTTTAAATCATTTAAAGAATTAATTATTTTGTGTAATCCACATGTTACCATTTGATTGGATTTGTGGGTCTGACATGTGTGCCAAATCTAAATGGAAAGGTGAAATTGATTTGCAATAGTAAAATGTAAATGACAACATTGATTGAATTTGAAAATGAGAGATTAAAATGATAAGTTTGATCAACCTCATAGACCATTGATGATAAACACCCACAAAAACTAGACATTTTTATTCCAAAACTTACGCACAAATATTACCTTCATTCATTCATCTTTCGAGTATTCCATAAAATTATCTTTTAGACGATTATTCTTTCCATGCATTAATTGAATGGAGTTTTAACGAAACATCTTCAATATTGTTCATTTTTAACGAAAAATCATAGTTTTATCTTTTTCTAGTACTATTCAGTACACCTTTACTTGTCATTTTTCATCAAAACTAAAGTTTTTTTGAATTTTTCGTTAGTTTTCCTTTAATGGAATGGCAGTCGACTGATTAATATACTAAATATCTTGCTAAAGATTGATTGAGAGAGAATGAAATGTATTTGTGTGTCTTTTCGGTTTTGAAAGAGTAGATTGTCGTTACAAACCCACTAGCTATTTCTTTTCTTTTTTAAATATATATAAAATATCTTAGCAAAGAAATATATCCTTCGGATCTCCACACAAAAAATCTAAAATTTGCTACGATTAATATCTTGGGGAGGTCCAATGAGTTGGGATATTTGCAAAGTGATAAATTCTGGTGAGCCAAACACATGTCGGTCGACGACAGCTAGTGCCATCCTCCCACAAACTCTTCCAAACTCCCTTCCAAAACCTCCAATTTGAAAAAATATATATAGCCAACCTGTATCATACCAAGCAACCCCTTCATAATTTTCAACCATCCATTAGCCGGGGGCTATAACCTAGCTACTTCCTCTCCAAACCACCGTAGGTGCCGGCGGAATTAAGATCGGAACTAGTGAGAATGGAGTTGTCCCCGGTTAACATGTCGTGGACGAACGAGAAGCACGTCAAGTTTTTGAACAGCATGGAGGAATCCTTCGTGCGTGCCATGCTTGAGAAGAAGAAGAATAACAAGGATCACCGTCATCCTCCTCGTCTCGACCGCTACTTGCCGGACACCTCCGACTCAACCCTGGATCTCAAAACCAGCAGCAGAATCACCAAAAACCGTAACTCCTTACAAGGTAATTAATTAAATGTTGTTATATTATTAATTAGTTAGGTCTGATCCGTTTTTATTGTACGCATTTTCCTCGTGGGTGTATTTGAAGAAGAACAGCACGATTAATTTAGGGTGTAGTCAAACTAAGATTTTAAAAGATTTAAAAAGATTTAAAAAGTGATAGATTTGATACGATTTAGGAGGATTTAAGACTCTTGCAAAATTTACATGGATTTTAAAGAATTTGAATAGATTTAGTTTATAGATTTTGATGGATTGGAGTGGATTTTCATATAATTTTTTTATTTCAAAAAAAAATAAAAGAAAAATATTTCCCCTTGTCCTATTGTACCCAATAGCCACTTTATCCCCTCTCTTTTCAGGTTCCCTTTCACACAACTACAAATTTATCTCTTTCTCAATTGATAAATTAACATAACTTTGGTGAGCTTTTGAACACTACACCACCAACAACCATCACCACCATCAAAAAACCTAGCTCAAATTGTGTTCAATACTATGAAATGCTTACAAAAAGAGATTCTACCAAAGTATATGGTGGTTACCTATATATGGCTGGGGTTGGTAGACATTTGAAGGTTGCCCAGATAGAAAATGATTTGAAATCCTAGGGGGTGAGGTTGGATTCTTTTTAGTCTTGATTATATATATTTCTTACTCTCAAATTCCACAAAATCCACAACTTATTGAAATCTTTCAAAATCTTAATTTTTTTAATACACTTAGATTTGGATGAATTTTAAAATCCTTTAAAATCTTTTAATTGACTACACCTAGATTTGAATGGATTATAATCCTTTAAATCTTTTAATTGACTACACTAGAATTTTAAAATCTTTTAAAATCCCCTCAAATCTGAGTTTGAATACACTGTCTTTAGTATGAATTATTCAAATTTTTCTATGCCTTGTGCTTAACGTCTAAAATGTGTTAATATGTCACTTAGTACTACAATTTAATGATATTCCTTTTTATTTATAAGTGAGAGATATTAGATTCAATTCTTGCCAGAGATTCGTTAACAAAAATTATAAATAATATCGTTTGTTAGAAAAAATTGCGTCTAAACAGCTCCTAGAAAACCTAGTATACATAAGTACTGATCAATATACCCTGAGATATTTTGAGGTGTGGTGTTAGGTTGTTAGCAATGTTTAAATATCGATATAGGTAGAATATCGACATGAAAATTTAATAAAAAATATCAATATCGGTTTCCTTTAAAGGAAATTATGAAAACAGACAATGAGTGGGTATATCAACTCATTCAGATTAAGAAAAAATTAGAGAAAATTTTCTCAAAAAAATTAAAAAAATAAAAGTTCGAAATCTGCCATGGATCCCAGGATTTTTTTTTCAGTAAATAGGTAAATATAGTTGATATTATTGATTTTCCATATCTTGCCGATACAGGGTGAAGTTTGCATTTCACCCCATTTTCATATTTTCGTATTGATGATTGATTTTTTGAATATTTTAATGAAAATATCTACAATTTCATAGATATTTTAAACATTGAGTACTATTTAGTAGTTATGTGATTTATTTTAAGGAAAACTAATAAAAAGTCCAAAAAAACTTCTCTTTTAACTAAAAACTTTTTTTAAATGTATAATAGATAGTGTCAGTTAAAGGTAAAAATATGATTTTTCATTAAAAGTGAACAGTACCGAAAGTGTTTTTGTTAAAACTCGCCTTATTTTATTGTATTAATTTTCATTTAGTACCTTTTTCCTAGTGGTAATAAAATGTACTTACTGTGTTATTGATATTTGGTCTAGGTGGCAGAATGGGCGGTAGATGTGAAAAAAGATCGAGGACGGTATCATCTCAGCCTTCCAATGCATCACAAGATCAGGTTGGCAATTAACCCTATAACACAAAAGTTTAACTGATAAATACCATTTGCTTAATATTTTCTTAATTAATTGCGTGTCCCCACCGCAGGTGGTCCCACAGATTGAAATCAGAACGGCTGGTGATAAAGATGAGATGGAGCAACAAAATGTTAATGTACCAGATCAGCTGGCACTGGCTGCACCAACCAACTGATCAGATCAACCGTCCATCCATGGCTATGATTAGATCTTGCTAACGTTACTTAGCATTAATAACTATTTCTAGGGTTTTCTTTTATTTGGCGGGTAAATGATAGCGATGTTTTAATTGATTTTTCAACGGAAGAAGAGAAAAAGGACAATAAGAAACGGATGAAGAAATAGTACCAAATCTTGATCTTTAATTCCGGGAAAAATCTTATCTTTTGGGATAGAGCTTGATGAATTTGACTTGGACAGATATTTTTATCAATGGATGTGATTGTGTGGATTGATCACAAAATTATTGAAGGGACATTACATAATTCATATCCCTTTTTGTGTAGTTACAATCCAGATGTTTCATGAATCATGAATATTAATTATTTTTTTCTTAAAAAAAAGGATCAGCTGGTAGTTTTGTCACGGAAATTCACTCTTTTGAAGTTGGAGAAAACTCACAAAGGCATTTCAACATTCCCTATCCACCATCGTGTGATTCACCAGGGTCAGGAATCGAACGACCCACCCTAGGCTGGTTCGACCTTAAGAAAGATGAGGTTCTACAATAAGACCAATTGGCAAAATGAGACTTGCTTATAAGCACATACAAAGTTTCTCCTCTCATTAATATAAGAATCATTCTAAACATGACTCGAATACTGGAGAATATATTTGTGACTGTGGTCGAATAAGTGACTTGGTCCACCCACTTACCACCTCTAGGCTAACCTTGTGGGCTATTATAATTGGATTGTCATTGAAAAGAATGCTATCCCCCTTCTACAAGCCCAAAGGTAAGGAGCCCAATTACCACAAAACCAAAGTATGACCTTGACAACAACATAGAGTACACAAGGAGCAACAACGGGAAGAGATCCTCTTCAGATCTATTTTGTAAGGATCTTAAAGATTTTCACATTCTAGTCATTTATTCAATATTATGCGATCAGTTTTCATCAGATACTATTTGTGTTTAATTTTAAATAAAAAAAATCAAATAATTTATGACTGTACAATACACGATAAATGAATAAAATGTGAAGATCCTAAAGTGGATCCGGATGGGATCCAATTCCAACAAGAACAAGCATGTAGAGGATCCCAGTTCACTTCAACAACCTCAGAAGAAGTTTAGAAGCCAATCAATCTTAAGATCTCTCTCTCTCTCTCTCTCTCTCTCTCTCTCTCTCTCATTGTCTTTCTCTCTCTAACGCCCAAGCATTTGTCCCAACTCCACAGCACTCTCTGGTCTTTCAAAACCCAAACCAACACGTAAACAATGGTCCAATTCTTGATCACCTACAAGAATCTGATACTCCAAATCTTACTCTCCCTCACTCTCACCCTCCTCCTCACCTTTCTCAAAATCCCCGTCTTCTTTCTCCGCGGCCTCCACACCTACATCCACCCCGACAACGTCCAAAGCGGTGTCCGCGCCGCCATCCGCCGCCCCGATGGCCCCGATTCCGCTCCTGGGCAGCCCTCCAAATCCAACCCCGAGCTCAGGAAGCGGTCAAAGTCAAAATCCAACCCCGAGTTCGATGAAAACAATGCTCAGATCTTCCGCCTCAAGCTCGACGAGGCCCACCTCCAAACCCGCCTATATTTCAATGAGTATTCCAATGCCTTCACTTTCTCTTTCGTTGCAATTTCATGTCTTTTGCTTCAGTTGTTGTACTTGAATAACGAATCGGACGATAAAAATTCTGGGTTTTTAGTTAATGGGGTTTTTGTTCCGGTTTTGTTGGGATTTGCCGGTGTTTCTAAGTTGTTGGTTTTGCTTGGTAAAATTGCGTATGAGAAATCCGCTTCGAGGCGGTCCGAGAAGCAATTGAGTGTGATTTTGGGGGCTGTGGGGTTGGTTTTAGGCAATGTGATTTGCTTCACGTTTAGTCCTAAGTTTTTCGATTTCAATTTCGAGTCCATTGATGGGTTTGGGAAGATGTTTGTTGCTGTTTTGATGGGATGCTTTTCGGGTTTTCTATTTATTCCGGCAGTGAAGAGTGCGAGGTGTTTTTGGCTTGGAACTGATCAGATTAGGTCTGATTTGGTAATGCTGTCATGTGATTGGTTTGGCAGAGCTGTTCTGTATGTGAATCATATGATGATTGTGTTGACAGTTTTGTTGTGGATTAATCCCTTGGCTGGAATGTTCGTGAACAAGAACATCAATCGCAAGAGTGGAAGTGCAGATATGTTGTTTGGAAATATCGGATTTTCACCTTCGGATTTTGCTAAATTTAGGGTTTGGTGCTTGCTGGCTACGAGTATAGTACAGATTGTTGCTTTACGCCCGAACATACAAATGTATTTGAACGAGGCATTGCTGTCTTGGTATCAACGGTTGCATGCTAGCAGGGTTCCTGACTTGGATTTCAGTAGGGCTAAGGTGTTTTTGCACAATCACTACTTATGCCTTGTAGTTCTACAGTTCCTTGGACCGCCAGTTTTGTTGCTCCTCTTTCTTGGATTGTCTCAGATCGATGGTATCTCTCCGGAAAATTACCAATACATTTGTAGTCTAGCTCCTTGCTCTGCGTTTGTGAAAGAAGTGGCTCTCTTTATGGCTTGGTGGATCCTCTTTGTTTGGACGATTTACAGTTCAGCGACCATTTTTCTATATCGGCGCTGCATTTTGTACATGTCTTGACGACTTGGATCTGCTGATTCAACCTTCAAATTAATCCTTGAGTTGGACTTTTCACGAATTTTGAGTGAGAGTGTTGTGCTTTGTAACAGAATTTTGATTTACTTAACCTGTGCAATTCTGCCTCCTGGAGGGAAGGGGGAAGGGAGGATCGAACGCATTATCTGGTATATACTTTGGCCTCCTCTGTTTATTTTGTTGTTACATTGATTGACACTCATTTACTACATGTTAGGGTTCTGCTATTGTATTTTATTTTGTAAACGTCATAACTCGTGGCAAATTAGATTCAGTTTTGTGCGTATAACTGAGTCCCGTACAATTTTGATTAACTGGCTGAGCATGTCCCCAGAAATTGTTTGTGAATATGTTTACTTATACACGTTTTGTCCATCAAATGATCAACTGCAATTTGAACAAAACTAGGTAAAATCGAAGCGAATGCTAGGGAAGTTATATGTGTTTGATGAGTTGGTCTCTTGATGCAATGTTTGCGACGAATCCTATGAAACATGTCCGGCTTGTGCTTATTAGAGAACCATGTTTCATAGCCTTGTTGAGCAAGTATGGTTGTTATTATCTTGGAAGTATGTTGTAGCTGTAAATGCATTAAGATTCTATGTATCTTTTGAAAGTTTGCAGGAATGTGATGTTATGGAAAACCATATTAAAAACTAAAACCTGCACTCACGTAGGGTAGATTTCCTCCCGGAACATTCTATATCGTGACGGAAATTCTGTCATGATCAACTAGCCTAACCCTCATCTTGCATTGTGATAAGTTTCATAAGCATGGATCCAATATGGTGGCCAAGATGGAATGTTTGGATGTGAAAGATCCATCACGTTCGTTGCAGTAATGTTAGGGAGACCACATAATTATACCACGTGCTAATACTAAATCCACCAATCATATATCCCGTAGACGGTAAATATTTGTGTAAGATTCACGATTTTTGCACTCCATTTTTGTCATTTGCAGTCAAAATTAAATGCTTTACACTGTTTCTGCTGTCCCAAATGACTAGATTTTGTTTATCTTGCTGATCAAAACTATTCTAGAGTTGTTTTCTTGATGTTTCTAGTCCTCGTGTGTTATGATATGAGTCGAAGACATGATTTCATGCTGTGAACTGGGGATGCAAAATAGATTGATTGCCGCAAATGTTGAAATATGATGATGAGTATTGTATGAAAACCACAATTTGAATCACATACATTTATTGAAAAATAATAACTTACACAGCTTGAAAAATGATTTTTGCACATTTTTTTGGTAAATTTCCCCATCTTGTTCAAAGCCGACATTTGATTTTTCTTTGCTCTGTTCAATTTAAAGGTAGTTTAAAAGCAAAAATGCATGTGGAGGAAGAGAAAGGAGATGTAAAAACCATTTTTTTTTAAAGAATAATGTTATTCACACACTCATTCTTACATCTCACACACTCTTGTTGGCTATTGATATTCTGCAATTCAGTAGATTCAAAATGGCTTTTTCCTTAATCAAAGCATATCAGCTCGCCTTTCTTGTTATCCAAAAGTCGGTTGAATCTGGTGGGCCCCTGCCCCATAACATCGAATGAAATAAGTGGACGGGTTCCCTTTCTACAACCCCTTTAATATTGTGTGTGTGTGTATGAGAAAGCAAAATGAGTGTGGATAACACTACCCTTTCTTAATACGTAATGTGACAAATGCGTAATGCATTTTCATTAGTAGGTTGCTCCACAATATTTATTTATCATTTGAAGAAGTTGGGGTTCTATTATAAAACTAATTGACAATATATGGACTAGCGTAATTATTTATAAGGAAAACTAACAAAAAGTCTAAAAAAACTTCCCTATTAACGAAAACCCATTTTTAAAGGTATAGTGAATAGTGACAGTTAAAGGTAAAAATGTGGTTTTTCGTTAAAAGTGAATAGTACTTAAAACTCCCTTATTTATAAGCTTATGCAATGTCTCTTCTCCCATCAATGTGAGATTCATTCTCAACACGTCTTCTCATGTGTGACGAATTTTCAAGCTTAACAAGTGGGCAACACAACGAGGTGACGTACAACATATGTGATCATTTAGCTTCGCACATTGGTCAACCTACTCTAATACTAAAAAAAATATTGAAATTTCATCATAAAACTAATTAGCAATGTAAGAAGTAATCCAACACGTCTTCTCATGTGTGACGAATTTTCAAGCTTAACAAGTGGGCAACACAACGAGGTGACGTACAACATATGTGATCATTTAGCTTCGCACATTGGTCAACCTACTCTAATACTAAAAAAAATATTGAAATTTCATCATAAAACTAATTAGCAATGTAAGAAGTAATCCAACACGTCTTCTCATGTGTGACGAATTTTCAAGCTTATCTCATGTGTGACGAATTTTCAAGCTTAACAACTGGGCAACACAACGAGGTGACGTACACATATGTGATCATTTAGCTTCGCACATTGGTCAACCTACTCTAAATACTAAAAAAATATTGAAATTTCATCATAAAACTAATTAGCAATGTAAGAAGTAAATCCAAACGTCTTCTCATGTGTGACGAATTTCAAGCTTAACAAGTGGGCAACATAACGAGTTGACGTACAACATATGTGATCATTTAGCTTCGCACATTGGTCAACCTACTCTAATACTAAAAAAAATATTGAAATTTCATCATAAAACTAATTAGCAATGTAAGAAGTAATCCAACTATTTATAAATTCATATAAAATCTCCCCTTCCCTCAACAACTTATTTTCAACATCATTATCGTAACAAGATTGGACTAAAGAAAGAAACATTGACCGCACCAATTACCAAGGAAAAAGCATTTACATAAATTAATTAAATTAAAAAGTGGAGCGGCAGCCATAAGAGGAAGAAGATTGCAGTTTGGTTGCTTTGCTTCTTTACTCCACTTTTATCTTCTTTTTCCTCGCTTTTTTGCCCCACGCGTGACATATTCGACCAGACCATGTGACCGCACACTCTCTCTCTCTCTCTCTTTACCTTTGTTAAGATTAAAGATCATTTCCAATCCAATGGTGACAAATGCACATCACCTAAATATAATTGAGAAAGTTGAAAAGATATGATTGAGAGATGTTTTTTGTGTTAGACATTTAAACCATTACCTGAAGTTATCAATGTTATTATTTTAAATTTTGGAGACATAAATTTATAATAGTACGTGACAATATGTCTATTTATATTATTTATTCAAATGGATCTAAAACCTGAATTTTTAAGTACAGATTGTGGTTAACATTTTATAGTACTTCTGATTTCGTTTGGTTTTGAAAAGTTTAACGAAGGGAGGTTATCCCGTCTTAAAATATGGCATACCGAAAGCTTCTTTGAAGATTTACAAAAAGAGTTTTAGCCCGTTTTTTCGATTTTTACGTATAGCTTACTAAGAGATATGAACAATGCTTGACTACTTAAGGATAAGTAGAAACTCCTACTCAAACTTCTTCATGTTCAAATTACAGAGCTTTGTGTTTATGATCAGAATTGTTCATTTTATGAACCACTTTGTAAATATCATATGGACAAAAAATAAATTAAACATAAGGTTATTTAGTCAATCTATTATTGCAATTATTAGACGGTTTTACTTTTATTAATCCTATTTGTCTGTTTTTATACAATTCAATGACGAAACGATCTTAATTTTAATATTTTTTTTTTACAAATATGAACAGTTCTGATCATAAATACAGTTCTATAAGAGCATCTGCAAAGAAGACTTCAAATTCAAAACATCAAATTTCAATTTGATGGCAGCCTTAACAATTTGACATATTGTCAGTATTTTTCTTCCACCCAACATGCCAAAATATATTGTTTCATTTATGTTTTCTTTTAAAAAAAAATAACAAAAAGTTGGGATATTGATGGTTTAAAAATAATAAAAAATAGTTAAATTTGCTAGCATTTAAGATAAGACAAGTGAAGTGCCTTTGAAAATAGCAAAACTGACATAAAAGATACCTAAATATGCTAGCATTTAATCTCTGACGCCTTGAAGCAATGGTGTCAATTTTGGCATCTCATTTTCCATGTTAACTTAGACCATCTCCAAAGGAAATCTTAAATCCTAAGTGAAATGCAATGTAATCAAATTTGAAGGTATGAGCAAACTCCAACCGATATGTCAATCTTATGTGGATTGACATATGAGTTTTCATATGTCAAATTTGACATGAGAAAATGTGATGTTAAATCATTTTTAATTATTTTTTTGTGTGAGTCTTATTAATGCACCAATTATAGATCTTGAAAATTTATTTTAAATGATTTCTTTTTAAAATAGATCCTACAAATATTATTTATAACAAAAAAAAACATATCGGATGAAAAAAAAAAAAGAAATTCTGACATTACCACCTTAGCCATCAAATTTACATTTGATATTTTTCTTTTGACATCTCTATTGGAGATGCTCTTAACCTTCTTTCTCATGTCAACTTTGTCATCTCGATTGGGGTAAATGATCCGTCATTTGTTACCGTTATATGCTTATGTAGTATTTTTGACATTTCCTTTAAAAACGGTTTAAATCAACAACAAACAGTTTTTCTTTGAATAATCAAGTATGGTTGTTTATTGAAAATCAAACATAATTTAGAATGTCAAAAAATGCAATAATTTCGAAACCATATAAACATGCCATTAATTTCGAAATGGACTGCCAAAAGACAATTCTCACACAAACTTATTCCATCCCTACCAACCGCTCATAAGCCGCCACGTCCACGGAACCGAAGAAAATCTGACCCGGAAGTTTCTCGAAATGGTAAGAGTTTCGTGTGGGTTCCCTCTCCCACTCCCTCTCCTCATCTTCCCAACCTCCCCACCCTATAAATTCCCCCAAGGAACCTTCTAGAACCACCATAAACGATTCCCCCCTTCATTGCTCCAACCCAACTCTCTCCCTCTACTTTCCTCTCTCTCGCTCTCTCTCTATCTCTCTCTCATCGTCTTCCAAATTTCCATGTCAATTTTCCTCTAACGTTAGAGGTGCGGCTTTCGATATGGCTCCGACGCCGGTGGAGCCGACCGGCGAGTCCACGTCCAGCGAGTCGTCGCAGCGAGCTCTTCCGACTCCGTTTTTGACCAAGACGTATCAGCTCGTCGACGATCCCTCAATCGACGACGTCATCTCATGGAGCGACGACGGATCCAGCTTCGTCGTCTGGAACCCCACCGTCTTCGCCAGAGATTTGCTCCCCAAGTACTTCAAGCACAACAACTTCTCCAGCTTCGTACGGCAGCTCAACACCTACGTAAGCATCTTGATTTTGTTTCTTCAATTTCCGGCTATTTTCCGGTTGGAATTTATTAATTTCTGAATGTTTTGTGTTCGAATTTCAGGGATTTCGGAAGGTTGTGCCGGACCGATGGGAATTCTTGAACGATAGCTTTCGGAGAGGCGAGAAGCGGCTTCTCTGCGAAATACAACGCCGGAAAATCAACCCTCCGGCGCCGCCGGTGGCGTCGGTTTGGGCGGTTCCGACGGCAAAACCGATTATTTCCCCGGCGAACTCGGGCGACGAGCAGGTGATATCTTCGAGTTCGTCGCCGATCAGAGCATCGTCGGAGATTATGGACGAGAACGAGAGGCTGAGGAAAGAGAACATGCAGCTCACCAAGGAGCTGGTGGAGCTGAAGTCCCTCTGCAACAACATCTTCACCATGGTATCGAATTACGCTTGCGCCCAATCGGAGAGCGGTTTCCCGGAGCTAAAACCGCTCGATTTGATGCCCGGGAAGCGTTTCCCCGGAAAGAGGGAGCACGAAGAGGAAGAAGAGGCGAGTCCGAAACTTTTCGGGGTGGCGATTGGGGCCAAGCGCGCGCGAGAGGCCCGCGGCGATGGCGTAGAGAACGATGAGACCAACTTGCGGCTTCAGCAACCGAGCGCTAGCGAGGTTAAATCAGAGCCGTCGGATATTGGTCATAAGGAAACGCCGTGGCTGAAGCAGTGCCACATGGCTAATCAGAGGGTGTGCAATTGATCATAAGTTAGAAGCAACGGTAGATATTATATATATTATATGGAGTTGTAATAGAAGAACCAGGATTGAGGCACGTGTTAAAAATGGGTTCACGTGCGTAGTCAACCTCCAGGGGCCCATTCCCTTCAAGAAGTTTCTTAGACTTTCTACTCTTTTAGCTTTATGAATTTTGGAAATAACACTTTTGTTTTGTCCTCCGCCTTTTGATTTTGCATGATATTCCACATGGAATCTGATCAAATGTTCCCCACTTCCCACAGAGACAAAGAAAAAGCTGAAATAATAAGTCTACTAGAAATTAAGTTGGGAAAGACCATACCCAAAGCAACCAATCAATATGAAAAATCTGATCAAAATTCTTGTGTTCATCGGTAATATAAAATTATTTTATTTTTGCGGCACCTTATTTTTCAAATTTTCATTGAGTTTCGTGTTTAAATATCTAGCTGACTAAACATCGTTGAATTTATGTCAATTTTGGTGTAACATCGTAATTTAATGTAACTGGATATCGAAACTTACAAGTAAAGACTAAATCGTGGTGTGTGTTGATTGAAGCCTACAAAATTGAGTTTGGGCAAATTCAACAAAAAACGATGAAACTCATATTTGAGTAGTTCATCGTAATTGAAGATGGACTATAACATATTTTCGGTCTAGTGATTAAAATATTTGTGTCGATGGAATTATTGATATTCAAATTGAGTTGTATTTGATGAAATGATGAAAATTGGCTCAAAAACGTGAAAATTTAAAATGAAACTTTAAGGAATTTATCGTTATGTTAATATAGCGGTTTGTCAATATTTAACCATTATGTTGGAAATATTGAAGAAATTTATCGTTTTTGGGCGAAATTTAAGAGTTTCTTATCTTTCTCCAAATTCTCCGATATTGCTACGAAAAAATCAATGTACAGAACACATGAAAACTAAATGGTGCTTAATTAAACAACTCCAGCTTTTGATATGAGATTAGCAGACTAATTATACCATTAGTTTATAAGCCCTACGTCCCTTCCTAATTAGTTTACATCATCATTGTTATCAAATTCTTTGCCATAAAACTCTACATTTTACTCGTCATTAATCCCTTTGAGAAACTTGAGCACTTGAAGCATTGTAGGCCTCTGAGCTGGGTTATCAGAGACGCACACACAGGCAATCTTCAACACTTGAACCATCGTGCGCTTCGAATCCGCGTCAAGCACCATCGGATCAAGAACATCAGCAGCCTTCCCCTTCTTCAGCATCTGAAAAACCCACCCCACTAAATTCCCGCCTTCCAAATCTTTGAAATCGGGTCCGGTTGGCTCTTTCCCTGTCACCAACTCGAGCAGTATCACACCAAAGCTATAGACATCTCCCTTTGTGGTAGACCGCCCGCTCTGTCCATACTCAGGTGGAATGTAGCCAAATGTTCCGGCTATATCGGTGCTAATGTGAGTCTCACAGGCATTGATCAATCTTGCAAGTCCAAAGTCTGCAACTTTGGGTTCAAAGTCTTCGTTGAGCAAGATGTTGCTGGCTTTGATATCCCTGTGGATGATATGGGGGCCGAATCCATGGTGAAGAAAAGCCAGGCCGCGGGCTGCACCCGTTGCAATTTTGAAACGTCTGTCCCAGTCTAGGCCTTCAGGATCTCCACTCCGATTTCTCAGCCAAATGTCGAGGCTCCCATTTACCATATACTCATAAACAAGGAGCTTCTCCTCGCCAAGAGAACAGTACCCGAGTAATGGAACGAGATTTTGGTGGTTTACCTTCCCCAGGGTTTCCATTTCAGCCATGAATTCTCGATGTCCCTGAGTTTTATACTCATTTAGCTTCTTAACCGCAACGGCTTTCCCATCTGACAACGTGGCCTTGTACACGGTTCCAAAGCCTCCATCTCCTATTATGTTTGTCTTGCAGAAGTTGTTGGTGGCTTCAAGAATGTCAACTAAAGTTAGCTTGAGAAGCGGCTGCTGAGACATGGCAACGTTGATGCTCAGAAGCTCCTTTGATCTGCTGCTACTGAGAAAATAATGTTCCATGAAACTAGTCAACCTGGTTTCTTCATCTTCTTCAGGATCATGCCGGCTGCTTCGGGTGATCCATCTTACTACAGCATAAGCTGCAACAATAAAGATTAGAGCACTTCCAACTACAATAGCAGCGACTCCCTGGGCATTAAACAATGCTAATTCATCAAAACTCTTGGCATGGCAATCCAAATCTTTACTTCTCCCACACAGTTTCTTGTTACCGGCAAGCGATTTTTCTGACAGGTTCCGGCAAATACCACTATTAGGAAGGGGCCCTTCCAACCTATTTTCCGCCAAGTTCATGTAAAACAGATTGATGAGGCTGCAAATTTTCTCTGGAATCTGTCCAGAGAGCTTGTTACTTGAAACATCAAAATACTCAAGTTGCACCAAATTCCCAAGGTCTGGAGGAATCTCTCCTTGGAACGAATTTGAATGAAGATCCAAATCCGTCAAGTATGACAGATTACCAAGAGAATGGGGCAGCACCCCATCAAAGAAATTATTGCTCAAGTTCATCTTTTCGATCCTCCAAGCTATGGTATTCGAGAACAGCTTATCAACTCCACCATTAAGGCGGTTCTCCTGAACATACAGCCCCACGAGATTCTGCATGCTTGACAGCGATGAAGGAAGCTCGCCATCTAGCTTGTTTGAGCTTAAATCCAAGTGAGTTAGCTCTTTCAATTCCCCAAAGCTCACAGGTACAGAACCAGATAACTTATTACCAGTCAAATTAAGCTTCACCAAGCTTCCTAAACGACCAAAGCTTCCAGGGATGGTACTCGTAAGCTGGTTATTTCCCAGATTCAAGCCTTGAAGCTTCGGCGAATCACCAAACTCAGGAGGAATGGAACCACTGAGCATGTTCCCAGACAAATCCAAAGTTGTAAGGTTTGTTAAACGAGCGAGGGACCTTGGAATTTCACCAGAGAGCAGGTTGTTGCTGATCAAAACATCCACCAGAATAACACAGTGACCCAAATCTTCAGGTATTGCACCCGACAACCTATTGTAGGACAGATCAAACACTCCAACATGTTGCACAAAGCTCAAAACCGGGATATTTGCTTGTCGAAAATACAACGATTTTTTCAAAGGAATTGAACCAGATAGATTGTTGTGAGAAAGTACCAGACATTGCAATTGGCTTAGCTCTGCCAGCTCCGTTGGGATAGAGCCGCTAAGCTGATTGTTTCCCAGATCCAATGTAGTAAGACCGGTGCACTTGCTAAGCTCCGCCGGAATGTTCCCTTCCAGAAGATTCGAATTCAATATTAGAACAGAAAGGCTGCTGACATTTCCGATCTCTTTAGGAAGTTTTCCTGTCAGGCGATTGTTACTGAGGACGAGCCTTTCCAAGACAGCTGCCCGACGAATCTTAATCGAAATTGAACCGCTCAGCTGATTGTTCGAAGCTGTGAACTCCATCAAATTCTTCGAATTCCAAAGACTTTTCGGTATTGTGCCCGTGAAGTTGTTCGAATCAAGGTCGATCACCATGAGTGGAAGCTCCGAAAGGTAATGAGGGATTGCGCCGGCAATCCGATTGTTCACCAAGTTGAGCTGCGACAAGTTCTTGCACTTGACAAACGTGCTGTCAATTGTTCCCGAGAGGTAATTGCTATCGAGATCAATCTCCAAAAGCGAACCCGCATTGCAAATCTCTTCCGGAATCGGACCCGTCAACAAGTTATTGCTCAAGCTAAGTAACCTCAGCATAGAGCAGTTGCCAATCTCCGGTGGAATTTTCCCGGAAAACAGATTGCTCGAAAGCAGAAGCGATTCGACTTGCTTCAATTTTCCGAGCCAGGAAGGCAAGATGCCCGAAAGCTGGTTCTTTTCAGTGGAAAAAGTCATCAGTGGAAGCTCAGAGAGCTCTTCAGGCAACGGCCCCGAAAGCGAATTGAACGAAAGCATCAAAGTCGTCAAACTTTTACAGTTCCCTAGCTCAGCAGGAACAGACCCATTAAGCTCTGTGAAAACCAAAGCGAAAATGCTCATGTTCTGCAACTTCCCTACGCCTTTTGGGAACGAACACCTCAATGGGTTGTACGAGAGGTCAATTTTGGTCAACGATTCCAGCTTAGAAATCTCTTCCGGCAACGGCCCTGTTATGGAACAGGAAGCAGCGTCCAAAATTTCGAGCCGCGAAAGCTCTCCGATTTCGCGGGGCAACGGGCCGGAGATATGATTGTTGCCAATGTAGAGGTCCGTGAGATTCTTCAGGCTACCAATTGACGGTGGAATTTCCCCAGAGAGTGAATTGCGTGATACGTCCATGGAAGCTATAGATTGAAGCTTTGGAAACAGGTCAGAGGGAAGAGAACCTGAGAGGACGTTGTTGCCCAGGTCCAGGAACTTCAGCCGGGTCAAATTTCCAATCTGGGTCGGAATTTCTCCATAGAAGTCATTACTGGAGAGCTCCAGGGTTTGAAGTAGAGATAAATATCCCAGCTCCGGCGGGATTTTCCCGGTGAAAAAGTTGGTTCCGAGCTTCAGGGTCTCCAGCTCAGTCAACTCCGCGATTTGGGTCGGTATTTCGCCGGAGAGCTGGTTACCAGTGAGGCAGAGGTGGTTTAGGTGTTTGGAGAATTTGAAGTGGAATTATACCGTGAAGTAGAGAGGTCCAGCACGGCGAGGTTGGAGAGGGAGAAGAGGAAGGGAGGGAGCGGGCCTCTGAGGGAGAAAGACGAGGGCGACACGTACTCGCCCAATGGCAGGAAACGCCGACCCACGCAGTCGAGGCGGAGAGCCACGAGAGAGAAACTGCGGGGTTTCCGAGGACGGTTTTGAAGGAAAGGAGAGCTTTCCGTTCAGGGTTTTGGACGTTTTGGCGGGAAACGCCATTGGCGAGTAGAATGAGGGACTCAAAAACTATGAAAATAACTAAAAACAGAGGCTTTATCGACGCCATGAAAGGGCAATTTGAGAAGAAGAAAGAGGGGTCGGAAGCTATGTTTTTCAGAGAGAAATGGCGGTGGAGAGAGGGGCTAACGGGTCATTTCACAAGCGTTGAGAAGAAGCTTGGACGCCATAGCTTTTCTCTGCGAGTTGAGTGTTTGCCAAGGAGGCCATAAAAGATCGAAGACGAGGACGACGGAGTGTTATTAATTCGGTCAGGAGAAGATTTGCACCGCTCACGTGACTTGTATCTCGTACGGCGAATTCTGTT